GTGTATGATTATGATTACTATACAAATCAGTAAATAAAAAATCTTGACTAACAAATGAATACTGTCTTCCTTCTCTGGATCTACTTACTTAATTAATTTAAATAAGTTGGTAAAAGGGGGGATAGTACATGATAGTATCAGTGTGTTATCGTCTGGTGATAAGCGACACGCCTGTTTATAGCAGTTCCTGTGCCACCCAGAGCTTAAAGCTCGCAAAGATCTGAGTGATCGCCAGAGAGATCACCGAGATATAAGTGTACAAGTCCCATGTAAATCCACCAGCATCCTTACCCGTCAAAACCGGAGCACAGTAATGCTCACATTGCTGCTTGGTGGCAAACATAGGTAAGGTCGCAGTACTTCCCTGGACGAACTCTTTCATATATTATATTTTAAAATTAAGTGACTTCGCTTTACTGTAAATTTAGATTTACAGTAAAGCGAACAGTAATATTTAGACAGGTATGTACCCAATTACCATATACCATTATTACATTACATAATACAACTTTATATAATGATATACATATAGTTAGATAAACTACACTTAAGAATACTGGCTAGAAAATACATCTAATAAACGTCAATAATTCACATTACAATTTTCCAAAAAATACACTCATTGGCAATAAATTCAGGTCGCTAATAAAATGTTACATATCTCATTGTATAATACAATTATGTAATTATTAATATTTTACAATATATCTAAGAAATCACAATAGTTGAAAATCTTAATCACAAAAAAAATCACAATTGTTGTAAATGAAATCTATAAAACGAGAAATAATCTCCAAGACTCAGAGTTAAGATGATAAAATTATTGTAAATGTCCCAGGGTTTGACACTTTTAGACAGAAAACCACGTCTTTTGCCAAAAAGTACTTAATTATCAGTCACTGACATATGTAACATGACGTATGAAACATATTAAACGGTTTATCATTTACCTTCCACGAACTATAAAATTTTAAATAATCATAGCATTATTAAAACATTCTAGTTTTCCGCAACCTTTACAGCTACCAGTGTGTATGTCAAACATAATCTCTAATGTCCCAATAGTTGACTATGGCAAAGTGAGATCGGAATACTAGTATTTGACAGGATATTATGTTATGATTTCATATTTATTTAACTGCATTGATTACTTTATAACAATAAATTTAATTAACAAAATTGCGACTAATAAATGCACACAAACTACTCAGTCTGAACGATTTTTGTAAGAACATCAATGCGCTTTCAACTCGGTTTACCTGTTCGCAAAAACTATTGAGTGAATCGAAGAAAGCTCGTAAACGGAGTTTATATATATGCCTTTAGAGAGGTTACACGCGGTGAATTTTTAGCAGCGATGTAAACGCGATGCAGTCGCTAATCGTCTACCTTTACACACGCGCGCGATTTTAAGTAGCGATGCAGACGCGATACAAACGCGATACAAGCGCGCGACTGCATTGATACAAACGCACGATTGCATGGCTACACTTGGAATTTATAGGCGATTGCATCGATGTTAAACGTCGCCGTGTGCAACCACTCTTACCAGTACATTTAATATGGTTTTGGAGTTATATCAATATTTGATTTCTAATTAAAAAAAAATTAAAAAGTGTCATACATTGGAACAATGTCCAAGATTAGTACATTTACTTTATATATTTTTAGGAATTTAATAAAATAATTATAACTTTCGACCTGACAAGTTTGTTTATCCATTTTCGCTGTGTTCGTTACCCTGCTCTCCTCAATTGTAACTGAATATTGCAGTTCTTGTCCAAATAGACAAATTGAGACCATCTGTCTGCCACTTCCATTATCTAGTAGGGCTAGCACGACAGGGCGCGACAAGCGCAAGAGCGATATAAAGCGCGAGATATAACTATTCTCGCATAGAGTATCTCACCCTTTATGTCGCTCTCGAGCAAGTCGCTCCCCCGTTGTGAACAGAAGCTGACTAAAATCGAATAAACCAGATACATATCTGAATTTGCAACCCTTAGTGGTGGAATATTTTCTTCAAATTTAAATGGAATCACTAATTAGGTACTCCCTTTCCAACAAAAAAATTATCATACAAATCGGTTCACAAATAGCAGTAATCGCGTACCATACACACAAAAAATACATTCAAATTGAGAACCCCCGTCTTTTTCATGAAGTAAGTTGAAAAGCGCAAATAATGTTCCAATAATGATAAATACATTTTTTAAATCGACTTACACTTATAATTATTTTTTATTTTTTGCTGGTGACTAGAATTCGTTGATGGTGTATGGCTAATTCTAATTAAAAATAAAACGTTTAATCTTACCCTTTTTAGGAAGTCATTAACGTAACTGAACCTTTCCACACTCTCCAAACCCTCTTAATTCTCTTCATCAATCGCCACAACAATAAATCATTGTCATCGAATGAAAGAACAGTATAAATGCAATTATGTTCTTGAACCCCTTATACCAATAGTTACGCTCACCTGAATGTAGATGTAAAAATGCTTATAAATTAAATGTTAAAATATACTATTTTAAATAAGCGAGCTTATAAAAGTACTTTTCTAAAAGCTTTTTAGTTTGAAGCTTACAAAATCGTTTGTTAAAAAAAACTTGCAACGCATTGTTTTCAGTGAAAAGCGAGAGTAGGCCACTAAAGCTTTTACGATAAAAAAAATTAAAAATAAGTAGGTTCTTTGTAAAACACGAGTTTTACTTTTACTTATTACTTTATTTTTCACATTGACTGATTATTTTGTGTAGTAAACATTGTAAAAATGAGATTGTTGAGTATTGAATGTGCTTGTGTGCTTATATTACACACGCACGTACATAAAACACACAAATGAATACAATATACAAAGTGTAGTTTACACAGTCCGTATTGAATATAATGCAATATATGTGCTAATGATCTTACGAATCTGCAATTTATTTTCCTATGTCCCACTTAAGACTACTACTGCTCTATGGATGTCTTTCACATAATTCATTATCTGAAAGGTTCCATAGTAATGAGGCTATTTATATACTTTCTGTGTAAAGGAGATTTCTTTCGTGAAATTCCTTCCGTTTTCTTATAAAAGAAATCAAGGGGAAGAATATGTGGATTAAGAAATAAGTGATGAAAGCGAAAAATGATCAAACCGAAAATGCGTGCTTCAGACTAAAGAGAAAGTGTGTTAGATCTGGTATCGTACAACCTAAAAGAACGTTCAGGAGAAAGCCTATCATATCGCAACGGCTTCGAATTAGAAATGACAAAGGCACCCCTATACAGGGTGTAATAATTAAGTGTACTCAAGCGTTTATTGGATATCAAAAACCTGTAAACTGATATCGAAACGAACGAACGAAGACGGGACGAACAAGTCGTGCGTCTGGTTGTAAGCGACACGCCTATCCAAGGCAGTTACAGTGCCACTCAGAGCTTTAAATCGCGAAGATCTTAGGAGCACTGCCATTGCGCCCGTCACGTCACCTGAGACATAAGTTGACAAGCCCCTTGTGCCTGTCATTTGACCAGCACCCTTATCTTTCCAAACCGGAACGAAGTAATGCTCACATTACTGCTGGGCGGCAGAAATAGGTAAGGTGGCAGTACTTCTCTGGACGAACTCTTTCACAAGGAGCTCTACTGCTACTAAAAGTATGGCATTCATAGAAAGGCTTTAGTTGACCTATTTTAAGAGGTAACAGTAAGTTTACAGGTAACCAAACTGCTTTAAATAAAGTAATAAAACTTCTTTGAATTTAATAAAAACTAAGTGATGTTTATTTTTAACTAAGTACAAAATTTTGTATCCAAAGCAGTTTCAAAGTAAAGTCTCACTATGAATGTCATATTAAATATGTTGAAGTATTTACCATTAAAATTTTGGATATTTCTAGTTTTATTTTTTTAGTTTTTAAGTTATTGATGTCGTTTTACTAATTAGGTAATGTACTTTCGATATGTCAGTTTAAACGTTATTGATATCTTTTATATTTACGGAATAATCGCCTGGGTACACTTAACGATTACACCCTATATATACAAAAGCTTCATAAAGACAAAATATACGGCAACTACATCCTCGTTTAGGCACCCGCTTACTATTGTTAGTATTATTACTTATTTATTGCAAGGATTTACTTGTAAAAAGAATTTTTGTGTGTAGACACTACAATAGACATTTCATTTCACACCTAAATTTTAGAGCCCATTGAACGATATTACAGCTCTATGCAACCCCATGGGAATAATTGGGCCATTAAATGGAATATTACAATCTTCAGCAAATTGCGGAAACTTGTCTATTCTAGTGACACAAATTTTAAATCTTTTCGCCCAGAACTTCGTGGGAAGTTTGTGGGATAAAGGCAAGTGTTCATTTTTCCACAGCCAAATGAAATCATTAAATTTTTATCGCATATTTATTTTTTTGATTTATTTCTTTGTGATTAAACTCTGAGTGGCACTGCAACTGCTATACGGTTCTCCTTATCATAACTTAATCGACATTTTAGCAAAATCTGTAATTAACATATCTGGAATCATGAGAATCGAGATCTACAACCCCCTATAGCGGTTTTTTTAATATGTTATTAAGTCTCAGTTGTATAGTTTTCATTCATGCAAAAACTATAACTACAAAAATCCACCATTTTTGTTTCGTCGTTTTACAACCATGCTATTTAAAGGGATTACAATGTTCGCGGTGGTGATCAAACCACAAAGACGGGTAAAACCACAAGGATAAGGTAATATACAACAATAGTTCTTTATCAAAAACAAAAGAACGAATGACACTAGTGCGGCATATTACCGATTCAGTATTCACAAAAAAAATGTCAACATAGCTTTATCAACTGAGATAAATGGGGACACGGAGATGTTTATCACATATCACATGCGATATAACGCCATGCTATGGCTGCAGTACAATTTATTTGCAAAATCTCATCAAAGACTCGATAATCTGTATGAAGTATCCACCCAATATTCATACACAGGGTTCAGCGTCATTTCACATCACATTCATTCAAATGCACTGTTGTCACATCATTAAAGTTAAAATATAACACAGCGTCACCATTCATCTTGCTCTCTTCTTCGCAGAACGGCGAAGGATCCTCTTTGACGTAATCCACTTTGCCGATGAAGGAGATTCTGGTTTCTCGCTTTTGCCGAAGAGATTTGCCATAACAGGACACTGGAGTGTCGCGACAACTGGTCAGGTCGAATGTAGTAGCTCTGGAGTTCCGTCGCTGCACTTTTCTGCAGAGTAGAGTTTCTTGGAATGCTATTCGATACCTGAGGAAGAAAATTGATTTTAACAACTTGAATAAAAGCGTCAGTAGCAGAACTACCCGCCTCAGGAGTCTACTACAACTCGAATTAAATTTTTTTACGTACAGATACGGTTCATTTTGGAAACTGGTTTTATTTCAAAATTATTTTTTTTACAAACGAAATTAAAGCCGTTTGAAAAATGTATATCGTACCCACACTATAGGTGTTCTATTTAGTCCAATTGATACACAAAAAAATCATGTAAATGTTAAAAAAAACGGTATACGTAAAGTACCTATTGAATACAGCGGTTTCCTTGTAAAATTTCGAGAAAGAAGTAAGAATTTTATTTTCACACCGTATAGTAGGGTAATCAGAGTATATCTTCAATTTTACTTTATATTTTCTTCAAAGTGATTGATTCAACATTTTCACTTATGAGCAATCAACCAAAGCCATTTGAGGTTGCATAAATTCTTAAATAAGAGATATAACTGGACTGGCGTACTGTGTATAAGAGATACGTTATCTACCCAGGATGCTGCGAGAGGCCATTGAAATTAAAAAACATCCTAATTTTGGTAGGGAAGTGGGTTTCTCCGTACCACCAGTTTGGAACCTGTATTTCTTGTGATGAAAAATCCCAAACAGACATAAGACTGCAGTACTAATTAATATGTTTTAATTTATTCTAATTTCTATTATTAATTATTAAAAAAATTAACTTTTTTTAATAACTTTTGTACCTATAGTGAAAAAATAGGGTGGTTTGCATTAATATTAGACATAACTGATTAATAATAATCACAATAACGCATACACTCAACATAGCCCCGCACTAGGGAAACCTGGTGTCGCGGGTGCCATGGATACACACATAGACAACCACAATATACACTCAAACTCACGAGAAAAATAAATGTAGGCCATACAAATATTTCCCCCGGCCCGGGAATCGATCCCGGGATCTCCGTGTGGCAGTCCGGCATGGTAACCGTTCGGCTACGGAGGCAGTTGATGACTGCACAACCTCAGTCAACCATGACCATGGGATCTGTAAGGGCCCGAAAATTGGTTTGTTTGAAAAAACAACCATACGCGATTTAAATCCGGAAAAATAGTGTCATTTCCTATGTGTATAAGAGAATGAAACAGAATCATATCTATCGGAAGAAATTAAAACAAAAGTCCTGGGGGATATGAGCTTATAAGGCACTAGCCAGGATCCATGAAGTTCAGTTTACGTGGTAAAACCATATAAAACTGAATTGTTTAATAATTGTATCATAACTAGTGTTGGGTCATGGAAAAATTTCCATTTTAAAAGAATCATATTTTTCAGAAAAATAAACAGTTTTCTGAATTAATTTTCTGTATTTTTCCACATTTATTGACAGTCATACCTATCAAATATTAAAGATACTGAACTAGGAATCGCCTCGCCCGTGTGTGTTTTCAATATAATTTCTCCTTGGACTAAATTGACTCCCTATAATTCATTTCAAATAATTCTCGTTAGATATATATTCACATTTTATAAGACTATTTTATATAAAGCTCTTATTATATAACAATAATTTTCAATATTGTAAATTTAGATAATTTTATACGTGGTATAATGTAATTTTTTATGAATAATACGGTCAAATTCGAATTGCCCCGTTGTACTTTTCTGTCCGATACTGGAGTGTAATATAAAAGCGGAAGGTGCAGAGGGAGAGTTTATTTTCCATAATATAGTTTACAATACTGTTGAAATGAATCTTCGTTTTTAGTCTGTCACTCGTCTATACTCGATGTGTAGTCGTCCATATAAATACAACGCGCGGTCCCGATCCGAACCGCGCCCGACTCGCGCCCGACCCGCGCCCGACTCGCGCCCGACTCGCGCCCAACCCGCATCCGCTCTCTGTGTGTTCACGCTAAATTGAAGGCTTGAGAGATTTTAGTAGGCGGACATATTTTTTATTACTTATACAATGTGTTGATTTGCATTCTCGTCATATTTACACAGGTCATTCTATATCCGAACCTGAACCCAAATCACTAAAAAAATAAATCGAAAGAAAAATTTCGTAAATTCCTATTTTTTATTTAATCGCGGTAAACAAATTTGATTAAAGGCATTGACTTACAAATAAATGGACGACGGGTCTAATACAAAAACCACGAAAAAAATGTCCCAAGTCAACCTATTCGAAATTTAAATTGTAATGTCATCGCAGTATCGCGCTGTCCGTCGAACAAATGAAGACTAAAGCGGAGTTTGGCGCTCTGTATACGATTTTAGCGCCTTACAAGTGCGGACACTTTTTAGCGCGGACCCGACGTCCATATAATTGTAAGTCAATGATTAAAGGTCATTGATTTGCAAATATTTTGAACAATGACCTTAAATGCGCAGAAAGAAACGCATTTTAGACCTATTTGGCGGTGGGATGCGGGTAGCGACGGCGGGGAGTGTCGTATCGAGCGCGCGATTGGTAGGTCAGTCGACCTTGCTTCCCGTACTATTCTGTCTGTCACGAAATGCTACGTGGTTTGGTATGTAAACGGACTTAGTAGAGCAAAAAAAAACCGCTACCAGGTTCACCAGAACCTGCATGGTAATCCATCAAGTACAAGTGTTGTCTATTCTTATGGCATGATGTGAAACGTTTAGTTTACGCGGAGGATACGAGTGTCGAAGTTTCTGCTTTCAAAGTTGTGGAGTCTAATGTCGAAACGAAACTCGCGTGCGAATCTGTGCAGCTAGGTATTTCTAGCAATACTTTCATGTAACCTAAATGTTGTTAAGTACCAAACCTAAGTTACAAAAAACTTTTTTCAGTCAACTTTTCTAATTAATATAAATAAATAGTAAACTATAACAATACTAGTACATTATCGTAATTAAGAAAATAGGTAAATAAACGATCGAGAAAGATTACGTATTGGTCGGTGAAGCGGGTGGCGGGGTCACTGCCCGTGGTTAATACGACTTAGGACAATTTTGCAAAACTTTACTAGATACAATGAATATTGAATATTGAACAGAATATACGTATTTGTATTTGACGATTTAGCATTATTTCTATTATTAATTTCTTAAATATGCGATATTGCGATAATGCAAATCAACACGCTGTATTACACGATTGATCGTTAAGGCGTTTGGTATTCAACTAAAAGATAAAAGTAGTGTTTGCCAAATATCCAAAAAAAAAAGAGTAGTGGTTTGTCAGTGACCAGCTATCGAGCTACTTACTCAACTACCATTGTAATTTTGATATTCTGGTCTTCAATGGCGACTTGATGGCGTAGTATATTAATATTAATATTTATTTAATTTGAAGACTAAATTGCTGATTAAAAGATATAAACATTGATATGTTATGGACTGAAACTGTTATGGACCGGCGTGCAGCTTACGGGCTTATCAGGCGCACGACTTCTTCGTTCTGTCACTTGATATTATATTAAAAATACATGTATGCATAGTAATTTTCATGGTGGTTTTGGTAAGACAACATCGATCGTTGGTACTTGAATGAATGAATGCCATCACTGCGATTCCACTGATACTTTATCGATTAGAAGATGGGAAAAATAAAGAAATTATGAAAAAAGAGAAAAAAGATTATGAGTAATATACCAGTTGATTTTCTCTACCTAATTTTGGTGGCAAGTTTTATTATTTAAGTAAATTATCGTAAAATATTAAATAACATTTCAGGTTACTGCACTCGAATGTTAAATATTTACTTCATGATAATATTCTACAACATTTTTAAATAATTGAAATTATCACCGAAATTGGGTAAAAAAAACTAACCTGAAAATAACCCTTATCTTAATTGCAATATAATCGAAATTAAGTCTCAATTAAATTACAATGTACTAATGTAATATAGATTCCAAATGTACCACTGACATAAAGACTAGAATCGCAATAGCAAAACAGGCTTTCTATAATAATATATTGTGTTTTTTTTCTGTTTGGCCCAATGGTTGACTGGTAGAGAATGCCTTATGGCATTAAGTCCGCCATTTGTACTTCAGTGTATTATACAATAAAGTTTAAATAAATAAATAAATAAATAAACATATTTTCACCTCTAAAATACCTATACAATTGAAAATAAGATCATCAAAACCTGTAAGGGTGCGAGACATGGACAATAACAAACAAAGCAGAGAGAAATTGGAGTCATTTGAAGTGTGGTGCTGGAGGCGAATGGAAAAAAAATGGATTGAAAAGACATCAGACAGGGCAGAGAAGTCTCTTGAATGCAATAGAGAGGAGAAGGGGGAAAATGTTTGGATATTTGTTGCGTAATGACGAATTTGTGAAAGTGATAATTGAGGGGAGGATAGAAGGGAAAAGAAAAAGAGGAAGACCAAGAATGGCGTATAGTGAACTAATAAATAAGAAGTTCAAAGTGAACAGCTATAAAGAGGTCAAAGAACTGGCTAAGAATCGTGAGGAGTGGACGTTACACCGTCAAGAGTCTGGCTCTTAAATAAGATGATGATGAAATTAAAATGACCAGTGGGTTGAAGAAAATTAGAAACAGCAGAATAAGGATCCTGTAGGACTTTTACCGAATTCTTCCATTATAGTACTTAATTTGCATAAATATCTTGATAGAAATTATAGTAGGTTACATTTTGTTTTACAAAAAAGAAATCGCTCTAAATCAACATTAAATGGGCCAATGTCAGGAACAGCGACAGTGTTTTTGCCGCGTCACAACCGTGATATATGACTCTACCTACTGGATCAAATAAATAACACCACAAGACAAACGACCGAAAAATACCACCTAAGAAGTAGTAAAAACTTTAAAGACTGTTCAGAAAGACGACAGCTCGGCCCCAATTCTGCTCTGCCATTCACTAATTAAAACGCGGCTAAGAACAAATGAAGAAATAGCAAAAAATATAGCACAAAATTCTCTTTTAAAAACAGTTCAAATTAGTTAACGTGTTCGACTAATCTGAAATATCATTAAACAATTTCAATATTCTAAAACTGGGTT